TCCAGAGGAGGCGGCAGGGAGTGAGGAGGAGCCTGTGGCGAGAAGGCAACAATCACAGCCTGAATACCTGCATATTTTCCCAGGGTTTGCAGCAGGAGCAGCCGCTCATCCTGGTCAACCAAGCAGTGCTCCCACTGTGGTAGCACACTGATGACCAGGGAGCAGCTCCTACATTGAGGTTCTGCCCCCTGGTGGTCAGTGCACATCATAGCAACTGGTCAACTGGTCATTCTGATCATTCCGCCATTCGGTCACTGGACTTTTATTATATCTAGGGGCCTAGCACACAAATTCATGCACCTTCAAAGAAACTGTGGGCTGCAAGGCACAGGGGCGGGTTTCAGCCCATCCTCCACACCCTGGCCTGGCCCCTCCCACTGCAGTCCCTGGTCCCCTGTCTGCTGGCAGCCCTGGTCCTGCTGCCACCAATCCCATGTGCTGATGGCGCTGCCCCACTTGCACCTACTGATGGCATGGAGTGATTGGGGCTGGAGCCGGCAGCAGGTTTGAGCAGGGCTGGAATCCTCAGTGGGTATGAGTGGTGGTTGCTGGCCCTGATCACCCCTCAGGAGCAGGGGAAGGTGAAGAAGCTCTCAGGGACGATTGGGGCCAGCAGCCACTGCTTGCAGTTGCCATTCACATGAGCTAATGACACTGAGCAATTGGGGTCAGTGCTGGGCCCTGGCAATGGGTGGTGGGTGGTGAACAGTGACTCTGGTGCCAGCAGGGGGTGAAAGCAGGGTCAGAGCCAGCATCAGGTATGAGCACCGGGTGAAATTGCAAAGAATTTTTAGTAATCACCAGAAGCTCGTCCTGATGACAGCAACCAATGCCCCACCATGGTCTGGTGCCCCTGCTCACCTGCTCAACTATCCCACCAGGACCAACACCCACCATGTTCCATGCTCTGCTGCCTGCTATGACACCTGCTATGTTTCGTGCGTGCTGCCTGGTGGTCAGTGCATGTTATAGCGACCATTTTTTTGGTTGTTTGGTTGTTCCTCAGTTCGGTCTATTTGCATATTAGCCTTATATTATATAGGATGACATTGACTGGAATGATGTTATTCAAGGAACTGTTGTTGATGGATTAGTTCCAGAGAGGAGGGTGTATTTTAGAATGGGCCTGGTCCTAAAAGATCGAAATAAAATGTTGAAAAAGAAGAAGTACACATGAAAATTTAAACAACTGGAAAAACAATACAAAACGTTAGTGTTTTCTTAGTGTAGAGAGTGCTTGGGAAGGCACATGGGAATTCTTAATAATTGTTAGCTGAACCCAAGAGCCTTATCTTGGATACACATCTTACCAGAAAGGCAGATGTGTTCTCAGCATTGACTCTTATCTTTGGCCAGATGTTGAGGAGTGGGCTTGATATGTAAATCCAGTCAAGCACCAGGAATGAATAAGACACGGGCCCACTTAAGAATGCAAATAATCTCCTTTGTCTTGATTTTTGGTGAAACTTCCTGGAATTTGGGGTAAAGAATAAACACGCTGCATAGCCTCTCAGTCATTGTCTCTCCATCAGAAGAGGGCAGCAGTCCCACCTGGTCCCAGCTTTTTCCTTCTATTTCTGTATCTTGTCTCTTTCATTTTTCTCAATCCCCAGCTGCCCCTACTCAGGAACTGGACCACTCTCTAGCCACGCTGGATGCAGGAAAGAGAAATATTTAGACTTAGAGTAACCAAAACAGTTGGAATGGATACACTGGATTCCATTTTTGTATTGGGATAGCACTTTTCAGAGCTCAAAGAAAGGTGAATATGAAGACTAAATATAATCACCCCATTTCAGGCATCCTATCTAATAAAAGAGTAATATGTAAATTAACCATCACTCCACTACACCCACAAGCCACTCCCACAAGCCACGTCCATCAGCCAATCAGAGCAAGTGTGCAAATTAACCCAGCCAAGATGGCTGTGGCACAGAGAAAGCAGGAGGGAGGCTTGGGTTTCTGAGGCAATAGAAGAAGCTAAGCTTTCCACGCACCCTGTCTGGCCCAAGCCTCCACTTAAGGCTACAAAGTTTCAATAAATACCCTGCTGCCACAGAGCGCTAGGTTACAAAGTTTTAATTGTAGAAGATGGGCCTCTGCTTGGGTCACCAGGGGGCGTGGCTGCCTGCAAACCACCACAGGCCCCTCACCCAGGCCACCCCATGCCCCAAGGGAACCCCCACCCTTATCTGGGACACCTTTCAGGGCAAACCAGCCGGCCCCCACCTGTGCACCAGGCCTCTATTCTATCTAATAAAAGAGTAATATGCAGATTGACTATCACTCCAACACATAAGATGTCTGCCCCATGTGGTCAAAGATCCTGCCCCCATGTGGACACAAGATGGCTACCACAAGATGGCCAGTAGGGGACGGCAGTTAGGAGTGACCAAGCCAGCAGAAAAAGGAAGTTGGGGGCAATCAGGCTGGCAGGGGAGCAGTTAGGCATCAATCACGCTGGCAGGGGAGTGGTTAGGGGGTGATCAGGTTGGCAGGCAGAAGCAGTTAGGGGCAATCAGAAAGGCAGGCAGGCGAGCAGTTGGGAGCCAGCAGTCCTGGATTGTGAGAGGGATGTCTGACTGCCCGTTGGGATCGAGCCTAAACGGGCAGTTGGACATCCCTTGAGGGGTCTCAGATTGGAGAGGGTGCAGGCTGGGCTGAGGAACACCCCTATCCCCCACTCTTACCCCCACCCCCTGTGCATGAATTTTGTGCACCAGGCCCCTAGTATAATGAATAAAAGAGTAGCATGCTAATTGATCGTACCTTCATGATGCCCACCAGCCAATCAAGAGTAAGTATGCAAAGTAATCCAACAAAGATGGTGGGTTACTTTGCATACACAGGTGCTGAGTGGCTGGGGGTGGGGCAGGACACTTGTATTGTTGCCATGGCGACAATGCAGGCATTCCACACCACCCCAGCTGCTCTGGACCTCTGGGCAGTGTGGGAAGGCGGAAAAGCAGCTCTGGCCAGAGTGAAGGCCAAGGTAAGGAAGCCAAGGTAAGGAAGACCCATTCTTGTATGAAACTTCATGCATCAAGCCTCTAGTATTGAATAAAAGTCACTCATTTCAAGATGTGTTTCAGTGAAGTTTTTTAATTACAAGAATAAAATTTTAAATCCAATTGGCATCAAGCTAGGAGGAAAAATATGGTCATGGATTAATTGTCCACTGTTTTTAGAGAAAGGTGGTAAATCCAGGCAAATCATCACTCCTATAATAAGGCAAATGCTGTTTCTTATAGGTTGTCTGGGAAGCTGACTATAAGCCTGAGACCTGTGTACCTAGAAGGAGGTGTATTGGGAAGTGTGCTCTAGTACTGTGGGCATGAGGGAAGCAGAACTAGGCAGAGGGAGAATCTGAGCTGCAATGAGTGGCCTTGGAGGCCTCTGGAGCTGGGGTGGCCCTTTACAGTCATCTGAACTGAGGAAAATGAGCTTTATCCCACAGCAGTGGTAATGACTGGGCTGCCCTCTCACTTAACATGTCTGTCTCTCCCCATGACATAAACGCCATGAGGCAGGGATTTTTGTCTCACGTATCTCTAGTCTGAGAACAATGCCTGGCACATTGTAGGTGCTCAATAAATATTGGTTGGGGTGAGGGGAGAGAAAACTAAAGACAAGGAGAAGCATCTTTATAAAGAATGTTTCAATTTATTTTTTTTTAAATCTGAATCTGCATAAAATGATGACTAGTTACATTCAGCTCAAAGCACCCCTGTGACATGAACTATAGACAAGCCCAGGTTTGAAACTTTGCAACTCACCATCAGGTCCAGTGGCCACAGTAATAATCAGCCCTGTCACTTAATTTGCATCCACTGAGGCTATGAGAGCCTCTACTATAAGTACTCAGAATTTTCTCGGGGTGATGGTGGGAAGCAGGGGAATGATCATTTATAATGAATGCTACAACAGGGCTCTGACTACGCTTCTGTCATGGCTTGTAGCCATCTGAAATGAGGGGGTACCTGAGGAAACATAGGAAATGCTGTTACTGGAACTCTGATGTTTTTCCTGGAATCCTCATACTTACACACACTGGTCCAACAAAATGCATAAACAGGGGTTTGCAGTACAGAAAGAAAAAAAGTTTAATATTGAATTGGCCAAATGGAGGTGAGAGCTTATGCTCTAAAAAGAAAGAAAGAAAAACAAAAACAAAACAAAACAAAACAAAAAGAAAGAAAGAAAAAAAAAAAAAAAGCCCAACTCTCCAATAGAGTATAGATTATAGATTATATAGAGCAAAATCGGAAGACACTATGGGTTAGGGGTTCAGGGTTGCGTGGGGAGCTGATTGGTCATAGGTGAGATGAGTTTAATAAATCATTCCTTCAGATCTTGAGGATAGTTCTGAGGTCTTTTATGGTGTTCCTCTGCCAGTCTCATGGGGAAGTAACAAGGGGATTGTTCCAATTGAGGGCTTGGAAACTGAAACATAACTTAGGTGAAGATGTGATCTTTATCCTGACAGAGATCTGGATCCTGTGACCACTTGTCAGGTCTGAGCTACTGTCTTCTCCTGCTTTGGGGGCTGCTGATTATTGGGGGAAAGGTTAGGTCTCTGAGGGGTATGTATAAATAGAAAGATGGATATGATGTCTAGAGCTAGGACTTAAAGCTAATTTAATCCAAGTCATAAGGACCCTTGGTTTCAGTGCCTTGGAATTCTGGGATAGAGAAACTCAAAATGGTACCAATCCCCCAAAAGGCTACAGTAAAATAAACTTAATCTTGAAGTTTCTAAGAAGCAGCATCATTTCACTTCCTTTCTGAGCTCATTCTCTCTCTCTTCACACATACACCCATTTCAGTCTAATGCTCTCCCAACTGAGCTATTTCGGCGGCTGTCACACATACACCCATTTCAAGACCCCCTTGTGACATATCCTGGCAGATGACAGACATCACACTGTGCAGAAGCACAGACATGTTTGTGAATGGTCTCTCACTGCTGCAGTGCCCCCTCAGCAGTGGGGCTGGCTCGCTCACACGCTGGTGTGCTGAGAACCAGAGGATGCGATGCTGCCTGGCTGGCTATGGCCAGAGGGTGCTGAGCTGGCTGCCCGGTTCCTCCTGCTCTGATGGCTCCCTCCCTGGCTGCTGGGGGCTGTCTCATCCATCAACTTGAGCTTCTCATGCTCCTCTCTCAGGAAGAAGTCCACCAACAAGCTTTTCTCTTTCTTGATCTGGTCGCTGATGTCCGTGGGGATATCTGGGATCATCCAGTCCACGAGGACACTTAGGAACATCACAAGGTTCTGTCAAAAGTGAAAAATAGGAGTACAGAGAGAAGGCTTAGCTGGGAAACATCAGTGTACCAGTCTATCCTTGCCCCTCAGAGTGATCATCTCAACAGTGGAGCTGCCTTAGGTCATCTAGAGCTGCGCCATACATTCTTCCCTTTAACAAACTTCTCACAGTGTCAGTCAATGCTTTATGTGACATATGGTAAAGTGAAGAGACTCTAACAGATGGGGCAGCAGGGGATGTCTGAGTGATTTTTCAAATATATCACCCCATCTCTCCAGAGGAAAAATGGCTGTCTTCCTTAGGTGAAAGACTAGCCATGGGGTTCCTTCATTTCCTGGGCTTGGGTCAGGGGCAGGCTATTTTAGAGCCTTCTAGAGATCCACCTTCAGGGATTACAAAAGCCTGAGGGAGTAGATGAGAAAAGGATCTGGGTTGGGGCTCCAGTTTTGCTTGAAGACCCACAAGGCCCCAAGTGGAGAATCGGGAAGGAGGGGCCTCATGCTCAGAGAATCTTGGAGGTACAAGTGGAGCTGCTGCTATTGTCAGAGATAGGAATCACTGGGCTCAGGTTTGCTATTCATTCATGAATGGTGGGATGGTTCTGGCGGCCCTTCCCACCAGATGTCTCAGGGCCTAAAACAACAGGAACAAGGGAGGGAGCCAGCTGAGAGGGCTCGGAAAAAGGTTCAGATGGGGCTGTTCCACTGCTCTTCCCACTTCCCTTTGTTGTCTTAGGGTGAAATGGGAATCTATCTCCACCCTGCAATTTATTTAACATCTGCCTTGTATTCTTATTCTGTGTTTTAGTTTCTTTCTGCAAATCCAACAATTCGTGGATGCCCAGGGAAGGGAGCACTCACTGCCTGCCACCTGTGAAGGCCCCCTCTATCACCTGTGCCATGAAAACCTGGAGATGAAGGGCCAGCAAGGAGACATGGTTGTCTTAACTCTTGCAGTTTAAGTCCTAATTGGCAACTACTTACTGGAATAACTCACCTGGAAGATTATGACAAAAGCCAGACGGGCAGACAGAATAGACCAGTACTGTTTGGAATATTCATATGGGTTTGGCGCCCATGGTGGCTCTCGGTAATCCTTAAACCTGCCAAGAGAGAAATGTGGTGTTCAGATTGAGAAGAGATGGAAGAAATGGGGTACTGTAGCTCTAGAGGGAACCTCAGGGGTCAAAGCAGCAGGCAAGCCTTGGCTCTCTGACTTGGGGGAAAAGGGGTAGAAAGAAGGAATCCATGGCCCAACCAAGTGTCTGTGGGATAAAAAGACCAAAGTCCCAAAAAAACAATGTGAGACTAGAAATGTCTTTTTCCTACTCTCTAACATCCCCCAAAAGAATCCTCTGGTGTCTGGATTCTCCTTCCACAGGAGCCCAGCAATCATGAAAAGACCCTCGGACAATGAATCTACTTTGGCTCTCACTAGCTTATGGCATCTGGAGGGGAAGGAAGACACCCCCTCCTCCCATTCTCATACAGTTTTTATAGCCTGTGGGCTCAGTGAAGATATGGGTGCCAGCAGACAATCCCAGGCTTCATGCCCAAGTGTTTGCCATGGGACTATGGTTTTGAGAGAGGCTGGCCTCATTTGATGACTACATTCTTGTATTCAAAGGGAAGTGACCAAGCTGAAGATAATGAATTTGGGGAAGGAGAGCTGATAATAATAGTCACAGTTGGTCAGTGTCATCCTCTTTTACTGGCCATCTTTATAAGTTGTTTATATGGCTTAAGAAACAAAATATCAGTGGTCTGACATGAACTCATGCCTCTTTCTCAGACCTCAGACCCTTGTAGGGGCTTTTCCTCACTGCTGTCTCCACCCTACCCCCATCCTGGGATGACTCATGTTAGAAATGGTTCATTTTCTCAGACTCACTTTTTTCTAAACCTGAAAAGATGACAAAAGCTAGTAACAGAAGAATTATGATCCTGCATGAAACTGTTTCCTCCATAGACTTCAGCAAAGCTTTGACGCTCAATAAAATCAAAGCAAGCCCAGGGCTGGAGGAAGGTATGGGATGGCATCAGGCCACAATGCGGGATGTATGACCATTGAGTGGGGACTCTATCAGAGGAGGAGATAGGAAGGGAAGGCGGCAGTATGTATCAATCCCTGAGCAAGGAACTTTTTTTTTTTTTTTAAGTTTCCTCATTTAATCTTTACAACAGCATCCTCTGGGAGGCATTGATATCCCCATATAACATAGGAAGAAACTGAGGTTCAGAGAAGTTCAAGTAGTTGTCCAAAGTCTCATTGACAGCAGGAGGCTAAAGTAAGCCAGGAATCCGAGTCTGGCCAAATTGAGGCCTTTCTCCTATCTCATACTGTCTGTAGCAATTGGCAGGTGTGTGTGTGCGTGTGTGTGTGTGTGTGTGTGTGTGTGTGTCTCAGAAGTGGGTGCTCTCTGTAGCTCCCCCTAACCTGAATGCACCAGCTGTTTTGAAAGATTCACATTAAAGCATGGTGACTTCCAATTGCCCAAGGAGAGATGAGGGAAGAAGAGAAAAAGAAAAACCTGAAAAGAGATGCACACAAGAAGATAGGAAAAAGCCCTAGTGATGGAGTCAGCAACAGGAAAGACAAACTGAGAGGTGGACACTAAGCAATCAGCTAGGGCTGGGCAAGAGGCCAAGAGCTGCCCCCTCCCCACTCAGCTCCCCTTCTTCCAACAGCTGATCACAGCTGTTGCAGGCTTGGTTTGACATTCGGATGAAAAGCAAAACTAACTGCAGCCCAGCAAAATACCACGGCATTCATCACATCCATCCGTGGCTGAGGACAGAAACATGGCCAGCTCCAATTATGCTTGCTAATGGGAGAGAGTGAGTGAGAGCGTGGCTAAAGGAATAAGGACATCTTGGGATGAGAAAAACTCAGGCTCCCCAATGTCCTGCTGCCTCCCCCCAAAGGATCCCATGGCTGAAGGGAATTGATCCTCCTTTTTCTTTTCAAGATCTCCAAGGTCTTACACACACACACGCTCATTCCTTACCACAGGGAAAGCCTTCCCCAAGTCTAGTCCTGCTGCAATCAAAGCCTGTTTTGCTTGTTGTCTAGCTTCATCTATGAAGGAACAGATGTTCACTGACCTCAGCATAAGAGCCATTGCTCACCCTGCTTTTTTCCAGTCTGGAAAGAATCCATAAATAATCTAATTTTGGTCCCACCTCTGCTACTAACTCACCCCAGCTTTTGAAAATGTCACTTTGCTCTCCCTAAGTATTCAAAACACGTTTTGAATATAACAGGCACATCCATCTAATTAAGGATCTAGGGAAAGACTAATACATAGATATGTCCAAAAAGTTCTGCTTGAAATACACCTAGGCCAATGGGCTAAAGGTACTCTGTTAGGAACTACAGGACAAGCTATCCGCAGAAAAGAACAATATGCAATTTATTTAATTATACATTTGTTCACATTTCTCTTTGCAAAGCTAACTTTTTAAACAACTGTGACCTACAATAGTAACTATACATTTTGAATTAATGCACACATAAATATATGGCACTGGAATGAAAATTATACAAAATATACTATTGCTATTCCAATGCACTAGTATTATTCTATTCTATTCTATTCTATTCTATTCTATTCTATTCTATTCTATTCTGTTCTGTTCTGTTCTGTTCTGTTCTGTTCTGTTCTGTTCTGTTCTGTTCTATTCTATTCTATTCTATTCCATTCTATTCTATTCTATTTTATTCCACCTTATCTTAATCTATTCTATTCTTTAAAATGCTACCATGACCCACCAAATTGATTTCATAACCCAATAATGAACCATGACTCATAGTTTGAAAAACAGGCTCCAGTAAGCCTCTGCCACCAGTAAATGATTGGTTGTTTACATTCCAATATAAATTCTGATTTCATAATTAAAAAAAACAACAACACAGCCTTCATCCTAAGAAGTTTATCACATTTTTTTTTTCTGCCGGGACTGGTTTGGCTCAATGGATAGAGCGTCAGCTTGAGGACTGGGGGGTCCTGGGTTCGAATCCGGTCAAGGGCATGTACCCTGGTTGCGGGCATATCCCCAGTAGGGGGTGTGCAAGAGGCAGCTGATCGATGACTCTCTCTCATCGATATTTCTGACTCTCTATCTCTCTCCCTTCCTCTCTGTACAAAAAATCAATAAAATATATTTTTTTAAAAGAAGTTTATCACATTTTTTTCCACTGAGTAACTAGAAGACATTAATTTAAAAAGAGATAATTAGCTTTAAGATTAGAAATGTCCACAAAAGGTAAAGTGATAAAGTGGTTAATAGAATCAATTTTGTCCACCATGGTAATAGTTATCTGCTTTGTCTGTTTTGTTTCTAAGCCCAGGACACAGAATTGGCAAAAGCATGGGCTTTGGAGTCAGGTGACTTGATGCCACCCCCACCATTTCAGTTCTATGCCCTCTACAAACATTCTGATGGCCTAGGCCATTATCTATGAAATGGGCCTCAGCTTTCTGCATCTCACAGAGTTGTAATGAAGATGAAATGTCAGTGAAGGGCACTCAGCATCCCACCTGACTTAACCTATATAATAAAGAGGTAATATGCAAATTGACCACCACTCTAACACACCAGATGGCCACCTCCATGTGGCAATGATGCTGCCTCCAGGTGACACAAGATGGCTGCCACAAGATGGCCAGTAGGGGAGGGCAGTTGTGGATGACCAGGCCAGCAGGGAGGACAGTTGGGGGGGACCAGGCCTGCAGAAGAGGGCAGTTTGGGCAACCAGGCTGACAGGAAAGGGCAATTAGGGGTAATTGGCCCAAGAGGGGGGCAGTTAGGCATCAATCAGGCTGGCAAGGGAGTAGTTAGGGGTGATCAGGCTGGCAGGCAGAAGCAGTTAGGGGCAATCAGGCATGAAGGTGAGCAGTTGGGAGCCTGCAGTCCTGGATTGTGGGTGGGCAGTCAGGCATTCCTCAAGGGTCCCAGATTGGAGAGGTTGCAGGCTGAGCTGAGGAACACACACACACACACACACACACACACACACACACACACACACATGAATTTCTTGCACTGGGCCTCTTGTCAGATATATATGCCAAGTAAGCAATAACTATTCTTTCTCCTTTGATTAAGGTTACTTATGAAACATACCCCTTCTGTTAAACGAGGACAGAGCACATTCACCCATGCTCCGTGTTCCTCCCTGCTTTCTAGGAGGATTTCTGAGCACTCAAGAGCAGATGCCCCAAGTTTCCGTCAGCCAATGCCAAACTGCAAGGAGCTTCTCTCAGGATCTATGCCCATGTAAATGTAGGCAAGCCTCAGGTTGGTGGGAATTAACTTCTGCTTCGTTCCCATCAGCTCAAGTATTTTCTGAAATCAGAACCTTTCCCCTGGTTTAGGGAACTTGATTTTCCTACAGTCCCGCTGGGCAGCCAGGCACTGGGTGACCCATATCTGGTAGCTTCCTACATCTACTGGCTGGGATTTAAACTCGCAGATATAATTTTAGGAATCATTCCCAGATCTCACTCTCACACCTCCAGTCCTCCTTTATTTTCTTTGGGACTTAACATTAACTTTGAAAGTCCTCTTTAGTCTTCTAAAAAGGAGTGTCTTTCATAATGAAACAACTAGAGTGTCTAAAAAGCAAGTGAGCATTTGGAATGGCTATGTCACTAACTGTAAGGACCTGGTAAGTTATCTCACATCTTTGATTCTCAGCTTTCTAATCCATAAGTGGAGCTGACAAAACGTGCCTCTAAGGGCTGTGTACACCAATGATACATACACCATCTCTCTCACCCCAACCATGAGTAAACAAATACATACATGTGTGTATGTGTGTACACTGAACATGAAATAAAGACAGTGAGAATTAAATAAGACAACATGTGCATGTGATTTCTTGAGACTTCTACAGAAAATGGAAACAATGATTTCTTCTGGAAGAGAATGACTATGGTAGGGGCTGAGAAGAGAATCTTTTCCTTATATTTATATAAGATATAATAAATAATTATATATTCATAATTAATATAACCAATACATTAATTATGTAACATATAATCTTTAAATTCTATAATTTATATGATATGTAATATATGTAATACATGTATATATACAT